AGCCAGCGCCGTTCACCAGGCACCCGATGTTCCCGTCTAAGCCGATGTAGTTGAGCTCTGCGTGGGCGGCATCTCTGTCTTCCTCCGTCACCTGACTCCAGTCCTGCAGGTCAAAGATCTTCTTCTGGCGAAACGCCGAGTTGCTGTCGAAAATGATCTTGGCATCCATGCACATCACTTTCCCGTCGAGTCCTCCACCATGGGGTTGATCTCCACCATGAGGGCGTCGTGCTGAATGAAGAAGTCGTAGAGCTTCATCATATTGTCCGCAGCGTCGTACGTCAGGTTAGAAGGGAAGCCCATCTTCTGGGCGAGCTTCAGGGCCTGGTCGTTCCGAAGGCCTTCGACAATGTCGACGGGCTCCTTGATGATGGCCTCAGGTTTCCCTGCCGCGATGTCTTCGATGTGGACGCCCCCCTGGGAGCTGGCGATGATCACGGGGCCCTGGAAGGACCTCTCCATCATGATCGCAAAGTAGTGTTCCCTCCGGAGGTACCTGCGCTCGCAGATGAGGACTTGGTTGCAGATCTGGCCCTCTTCTCCCGTCTGCTTGGTGAAGATCTTCTTGCCAATCATCAGGGAGGCGATCTCCGGGCTTCTTCCGGAGAATAGACAATCCTCACTCCTCCTTTCAGGCCGCCCTCAAAGGTCCCCTTCTCCCGCCCTCCTGTCAAAACCTGCGCCTTAACCACCAGGTCCGTGGTGCCCATGTTTCTTGCCACCTGGTAGGCTTCTTCCGGTGTCCTCGCAACCAGTCCGTAGGGAACGGAAACGCCGGCGTCTTTCAAGAGCTTCATGCACAGGTACTCGTGCAGAGACAAGCTCCTTTGTTGCTGCATGGGCACCCCGTGGCTATTAAATCCTGGGTTCCCACCCAGCACCCTGGCCATGGCGGTCCTCCCCAGCAGCTTCACCATGCTCACCGCCTGCCTGCAGATCATGGAGGTAGCTTTCACCCACTTTTCCCAACTTCTTCTCCTTCCCAGACTTGCCAACTGGCCCCTGGAGAGAGACTTCCCAAAGTTCCTTTTCCAACAGTCCACCTCCCTGGCCTTCTCATTGGCCAGGGCAAAGAGTTCACAGTGACATCACAGAATCATAGAACTGTAGAGGTGGAAGGGACCCTGAGGGTCATCCAGTCCAGCCCCCTGCAATGCGGGAATCACAACCCAGTGTTATAAGAATTCTAAGGTCCCGAATATAAAATAAACGTTCATAAATGTACAAGGCAAACACATACATAAGTATATAAACCACGTGTCTGAAATAGTACAGGAGAGCAGCCCTGAAGCCATTTTGACTCTTGCAAACCATTTTTACTCCCAAATTGACTTCAAATATTTCACTGCAAGGAAGAAGGCCGTCCCTTTGTCTTTTGCTTACAGATCCTGTAACTTGTGTATGAATAGGGTGAGCCTGTGGCCTGGATTCAGGAATTGATGCATTTACCATCACAAAAGAATGGCCAGGCTGCCCAGGTAAAGCAATCAGTGACCATTAGCAAGTATCCTGGCAAACCGGATTTCTGCTGTAGACTATCCCCTTCTGTGATGTATGCGTGATGTTTTTTGGGGTGGTCTTGAGCTACAGGGTGGGCAATTTCCAAAGTTTATATAAGGGCTTGTGCACCATTGTTCTGGGTTCCTCCGCCCTCCTGCGTGGGGTGAGTGGGAGACCCTGTTGCAACAGTTGATAAAGATGAGGCTTACTAGCTGCCTTGCTTCTCAATATTCTCTGCTTGGCCTCTGTTATTTTCTCCGACCAATAGGGAACCCATGTAAGGATTCTGTGCAGGCTCTGGAATACCCCATAAGGGAAAAGAAGCAGGGTTTTTTATATAACACCAGCGACTGCAGAATACTGCAGCACAATTGCTGATGGGAGGGTGGCCTTGCCAGCACACCACACCTGTGCTGAGAGATCTGCCCTTGTTGCCCATTTGCCGCCGGGCCAAGGTAACTTTATTAGGGCATGCTGAATTTCCCAACTTTCACATTCCAAAACTGAGGGGTGCTAACAAGTTGCAATACAACTTGGGAATTAAAAAGCTATTTTTGTTAAATTAATATAATTAGTAAGCGAAATATATGTAGAACTGCATAGAAATAACTGCCAAGTACTTGCAGTTTTATTTTATATTGATTATTATTTATTTAGCATTACCTGACATTTTCAGAAGGTCAAATTAAAATTCTTTGGTTTTCCAAGGGAAGTTTATGTGATTTTTAACCAAACGTAGATTTACCAAGCTAAATGTTGTCCGGTCACTAAAATAACAGCAAGCTTTAATTCCTCACACCCAAAAACATATTTTTAGAAATTCTCACTGAAGAAAATTTAAATAATTAAGTTTCACCCCTAAAACGACATGTCCAATAGGCATATGTAAATTCCTTGGTAGAACAATAAACTCTGCACTTCTTCAGGGTGGGGAAAGTAAATATTGCAAACAAACATCACATCCCCTCCTAAAGGTAAAGGTAAAGGGACCCCTGACCACTAGGTCCAGTCGTGACCAACTCTGGGGTTGCAGCACTCATCTGGCTTTACTGGCCGAGGGAGCCGGCGTACAGCTTACAGGTCATGACTAAGCCGCTTCTAGCGAACCAGAGCAGCGCACAGAAACGCTGTTTACCTTCCCGCCGGATCAGTACCTATTTATCTACTTGCACTTTGACGTCCTTTTGAACTGCTAGGTTGGCAGGAGCAGGGACCGAGCAACGGGAGCTCACCCCGTCGCGGGGATTCAAACCGCTGAACTTCTGATCGGCAAGCCCTAGGCTCTGTGGTTTAACCCACAGCGCCACCCGCATCCCCGCATCCCCTCCTACCTACCCACAAATCTTGAGGGGTGTCCCACTACAATAACATCATTTAGACACCGAAGACACCGACCGGGTGTCCGGTCAGGGTGGCGATGTCATCGTGGAATCTTGGCCCTAGCCAATGGGAAGGCAGGTTGAGGACCGTTAAAGAAGGAATCTTGGGAAATGCCCTGCACCTTAAAAGGACAGTTGGAAGGTCTGTTGGAGGAGATCTGAGCAGGAGCAAGAGAAATCTCCAAAGAAGGGAACGGGAATCGCCCCTCATGATCTGCCGGTGGACCTTGCGAGTGGCTGGCCTGATGGCCAGAGAAGGTTGCCTGGTGCTTGGTGGGAGCCCAGGATGGTTTAAATGCCTTGGGCTGCAAGCACAGCAGCGGAGGCGCTTGTCTCTGCATGAGTACCTGAGCATGGGGCTGCTGAAAGAAGCCGGCGTTTCCGTTCCTAACGGCCTGGTGGCCAAGACGCCGGAAGAAGCTTATAAGGCAGCGAAAGAGATTGGGACGGAAGACATAGTGGTGAAGGCGCAGGTTTTGGCGGGCGGCCGGGGCAAAGGGACATTCGAAGGGGGCCTGAAAGGAGGGGTGAAGATTGTCTCCTCTCCGGAAGAAGCCCGGGAGATCGCCTCCAGGATGATAGGCAAGAAGCTCTTCACCAAGCAGACGGGACAGCAGGGCCGGATCTGCAACCAAGTCCTCATCTGCGAGCGCCGCTACCCCAGGAAGGAGTACTACTTTGCCATCACAATGGAAAGGTCCTTCCAGGGCCCCGTGCTCATCGGCAGCTCTCAGGGGGGTGTCAACATTGAAGACGTGGCCGCCGAGGACCCCGAAGCCATCGTCAAGGAGCCCGTTGACATCGTGGAAGGCATCCGGAAGGACCAGGCCCTGAAACTCGCCCAGAAGATGGGCTTTCCCGCCAAGGTGGCGGATGAGGCTGCGGACAATATGATGAAGCTCTACAACATCTTCATTAAGTACGACGCCCTCATGGTGGAGATCAACCCCATGGTGGAGGACTCGACGGGGAAAGTGATGTGCATGGATGCCAAGATAAATTTCGACAGCAACTCGGCGTTCCGCCAGAAGAAGATCTTCGCGCTGCAGGACTGGAGCCAAGAAGACACGAGGGACCAAGAGGCAGCCAGCGTGGATCTGAACTACGTGGGGCTAGATGGGAACATTGGGTGCCTGGTGAATGGTGCCGGCTTGGCAATGGCGACCATGGACATCATCAAGCTCCACGGAGGGACACCGGCCAACTTCCTGGATGTCGGAGGTGGCGCCACAGCCAAGCAGGTCAAAGAGGCCTTCAAGCTCATCACTTCGGACGACAGGGTCCAGTCCATCCTGGTGAACATTTTCGGCGGCATCATGCGGTGTGATATCATCGCGGAAGGGATCATCATGGCGGCCACCGAGCTGGAGCTG